AAAATGAGGCAGAAAATGCAGGTTTCAAACAGTGTCATGGCCAGGGCAGCGCACTGAGCAGTGTGCAGCTGCTGCAGGAAAGATGCGCTGTGGATTCCCAGAGCTTGAGCTCTGGAAGGAAAAAGTTCTCAGCTACACAGAAAGACTACAGGAGATTATTAAACCTGAAAGGGCTTCCTGGATCGTTGTATAATGGCCCAAATCTGTTTGTGTTATGAAACACATGAAGCTGTCTGGAAATGAAATCAGTGTGTATTTATTTATCTATCATGAAGTCCTTCCTGTACATAATGCTTCTTGTAAATGTCTATTTTGAGTACTTAGCAGAAAATCTGGAGATCAGTGTGCTCTAAAGAAAATTTGAAAAGCTAGTGTAGCCTTATGTTGAAATACATGATGAGTGCTGTAAAACACCTGGCATTCAACATGCAGTTGGGAAAATCTTTAGAACAAAAGCTTTCTGTGAGAGTGTAAGCAACCACCCTGAAAAATTAAATTTTTCCTGTCTGAAACCTAGATTTTTCTGTTAGTCAAAAATCTTGTTGGTTTTGTCACTCACTGACTTAGAAAAATATTTGGCAACTAAAGAAGGTGAAGACTTCATGTTTATGTGACGCTGTTTAAATTTATTTATAATCTTGTTTGTTATTTCTGGTGTTTGAATAGATAAACTTACAAAACAATTGGAAACTTTCTTTTCAATTCCAAATTACAAGTGCTCGACTAGCTTTGGCAAGACTTCTTTCAGGTGGGTGATTTGTGGACAGGTTACATTATCTAATGATGTGTCCCAGAAAATTGGTGTTGGATTTTTTTTTGGCCTTTGCTTGACTGTAAGTTTTATCTTGGGTTATATATTAAGCTTGTAGAACTGATGGTCTGAATCTGATGCCAATTTTTCATCTCTTTATATAAAAAGTTAAGGAGTTTCTTGCTTCCTGTAGCCAATTTATAGTAGAACAGGTGAGGTGTTACCAGAGAACACACTGTTGCTAGTTGTTGATATTTCTGACAGATGTTTGTTCAGGTAGGGGTGAGCTGGTGAATCAGCGGGTTGCTTGGATTTTAGGGAATAAACAGTGTCATCATGGAGGCATGGAACCAAAAGTCAGGACAACTGACTTCTCAGAGGTTCATCTCATCCGTAGCCTTTGGCAAACTGTATGATTTTTCTGTACTTGGCTGCAGTGATTGGTGAGGTTGTTGAGGGTTAACACTGCAGAAGAGCTTTGAGATGGTGAAGAGACTATAATGATACCTCGCTGCTTGAAGTGTTCTCACCTTCTCACACTGCTTGAACTTTGTGATGTTTTGTAAGTATATACTATGTATAGTGCAAAAACTACAATGGCTGCTATTTCCAGTGTTTTTCTTGCCTCCTTTCTTCCCAGCAAGTGCCAGATGAATTTAATTGCTCTAAAATGAAATTTCAGTGTACTAAATTTTGTGCTGTAGCATAGCAAGGACTGCATGTGATCCTTAAAAGAAAAAGGAGCCTTTTATGTTAGAATTGCGTATGTGAATCATAATACTGCTGATGTAACTCTTCACATCGTACATGAACACCAAAGGAGGTTGCATTTCCACATTTTCACTTCTAGGCAGCTGTTCATGCCCTTAGCTTAGTGTTATATCTGTGCCTCTGCTCCAACAGCTGCTTGCTCTCAGCTGAACTGGTGCCATTATATATTTACTAATGATTGTGATAACACAATGTTTTTGCATTTAACAGCTGTTGGAAAATGTGTGGTTTTAGTGCTGCGAGAAGGTGATAATTTAAGATACTTTATTCTTCACCCTTCCTTGCTCTGTGTTACCATCCGTAGCTACGAACTGTGAGGGGTGTCTGGCTTTAAGGACAAAAGTGCCACTGCTATTTTTGAAATTATTGCTATTCTTCAAAAGAACGGGAAATCTTATATAGGCAAAGAAACAGTTTTTATTTAGCACCCTCCTGGAAGGTACAGTGTCTGACCATGTGCTAAGTGATGACTTGCATTCCAGGAGAGATGGATGGTCACATAATGTTGTACCATTCACTGCTGCTCATACATCTTCATGATTCCTGTTCTGCTGCTGGCTTTTTCTGTGGTAGAGACCAGCTTGAAATATTTTCATTTTTCTGCTGTTTTGACTTAAAAACAGGCTACTGAAATAAAATGCTTGACAGGCTTGTGGAGACCAGCACATACCCTGTGCACCCTTGCCTGTCCCAAATTTCTGTGTTCTGTGGCCAGATATCTTAAAAGTTCATTATAAACTTCCATCTGTTTTTGTGTCTGTATCTTGCCCCTGATGGCTCTGGGTTGGGACGGCTCAGGAAGGGTTGTTGACAGCATTTGCAGAATATGGAGATTTTAATTTCACAGTATTTCTTTGTGTTACATTTCCCTCCCTCTGCAACAGAATTGCGTAGCAGTTCACGTCCCGTGCTCTGAAATAATGAGTGCATCTGGCATGGCATGATCTCCGTTGGGAGTGATGGTACAGCTGCTTTGAGAGGTGTTTTAGTAGAAATGTTTTGTACTCTTCCATGGATCCACATTCTTCGGAGAGGAGTGTCTGTAACACAGGAAGCAATTGCAGCATGTAGCTGGCATTTTTTTAATGCCCGTAATATTGGGATGGAGTCATGCTTTTATCTGAACCAGTCATATGTAATTGTACATAAAATACTAATAGCGTGTATGAAATGGCAGACAGACAAAGGTATTCCTGCCTGTTTTTCTCATGTGCACATTGGCATTCCTGGGGGATGCTGCCTGTGAAACCAGAAGGCTGCAGAATAACTTTCTTCACAGGGGATGTGTGTGTGTGACTTCTGTTGAAATCAAGCAGTAAAAAAAAACAAACCCAAATCAAGTTTATTTTAAAGTACTGAGTTGTGAATTGAATTTTGCCATAACTACAGGGGAATGCAATGGAAACCTGGAGCTGGGCTGAGGATAGTCTTTCTTGTGTTAAAAGATCTACCACGGGCCCCACTGTAAATTCTGTACTTGAAACTGCAACAGCAGGACTTTCTAAGAAACCTTCCAGTGTGTGCTGATCTTGCACAAAAGCAGTGAAAGAAGCTGCAATGGTTTACCAAAGAGTTGGGACTTTTCTGTGAACTTGAAATTTGAATACTTTTAATTTCAGCTTGAGGTTTTCTGTTTGTTTGGTTTGGTGGTTTGTGTGTTGTTGTTTTTTTTTATCTCTAACTTAGAGACATTTAACTACAAGATTAGATTTGAAATTATCTAACTTAAAGATAGATTTTGAATTTTCTCTCTTGGTACATTGAGCAAGAGAAGCCTTTTCCTCCCTTTTTTATTTCCCCCTATTTTATTCCCCCTTTTCCTCTTCAGGCTAAATAAATTACTTCAGATTTTGTTCTGAGGGGGAAATTATTATGACCTGAGCTAGTAATTCTCTCTTTCCCCCTCATTTCCCCTGTGCTCATTCTCTGTTGGGTGTTTGGGCTGAGTAAAGCTCTAAAAGGGTGAGAACACTCGTCGTGCTGTCAGGTCTGTTGTTGCCGTCAGTAGTCTGGCAGGTCCCTGTGAGTTCTAAGCATCTTGTGACCTGAATGTTTGCTCTTGAGTAGGTGGTTGCTAAGAGGATGTGCCTGCTTTTATTTTTCTAGAAGAGCAGGTCTGTGCTTTATAGGGAAACCAGTAGTAGGACTGGATTTTAGTCTAACATCGAATTAGAAGCCGGTTGTCAATACCTTATACCAATTACTAGGTGTATGTGTACAGCTTTTATTGGGAGTGCATGATGACTGGTTTTATTGCACCCAGTCATGTTGTTTGAACACTTGTGATGTGACCTCTGTCTTGATTTTGCTTAGGCATGTTTTAAGAAGTAACAACTGCAATTACAGCTCTGCTCTTAGGTTGTAAACTGTGGATGAGAGAATGCATACCTGTATTTTAAGTTTTCTCTTAGAGATTTCTTTTTTCAAAACAGTTGAGTCCTTGGTCCTTTCAAAATCAGAGATGAGTGTTTCAGACTTTTTTCCATTTGAAAGGGTCCTCCCTTTTTAGACTAAATTACCTGAGACTAGTGTAGCTGCTGAGAGGAGAATGAGCTAAATTGTTCAAAAACAATGGAAAATTGACAGCAACTACCCAGAAGAAAGATGAAGAGTGATGGTCTGGTGCAAAAGTGAGCCTGTGGATGGGAATGGCAAACCTGCCAGCTGTGAACCAGCTTAGAATTGTTCACTTGTGTAGACAGACTTTTCTCCCCCCTACGAAATGCTTTGAGGGATACAAAATGAACCTGAATTATTAAGTTCTGGCATTTGATAGACGGAATTGATATTAAAAAAAGCTTTGAAAAAAGTTGCACTTTTTCTAATGCTAATGAGGTGTGACAGTGCAGTGATGGCAGGTAGGCAGTGCGCTCACATGTTTGCAGATATCGACACCTGCTTGTAAAGGATATGCTCACATGGAGAAACTGCAGAAGAGCTTAACCCAGAAAGTAAAAACAGGTTCATGGATACAGAAATTGCTTTACAAGTAGTTCTGTGAAACATCTCTGATTCAGGCAGGACATCTGTGCGAGTCTAGTGGGTCCTGGCATACGTAGCGGTTAGAATGGAAATAGGATTCTGAGTTTGTTGTGTAATGTAGCACTTAACTACTGGAGCACGTTTTTGTCGAACTTTGGTTCTGAGAAAAGTGAACAAGTAGTCTTCAGTGCCCCACAAGAAGTAAATGGGTAATGCTGTGGTGATAGATGCGCACATGGTGTCTTTATCAGGAAGTTTTTACCACAGGTGTCTCTAGAGAATTATTTCCCAGGCCTTCCTGTCTGTTAAAACCACAAACATGCTGTTTCAAACATGAAGTGATGAAATGAGGCAGTTTTTAATGTGCTTGGGTCATTCGGAGACTTTGTCCGTTACGCTTCAGTGATACATGACATGGCAGACAATTAATATATGGACAGATTTGCAAGAATAAATAACACTTCAAACAAAGCACAAATTCCTTCTCCTTTCCTAGAGCTCCGCTGCACCTCAGAGCAGTTTGCGTGTCGGAGTGGTACCATTCAGTGCATCCCTTCGGACTGGCAGTGTGATGGATGGCCCACCTGCGAGGACGAGAGTGATGAAGTTGACTGTCCAGGTAAGGAAATCTGAGCAGAATGCTCATCCCACTGCCAGCTTATTTTACAGTAGCACTTTGACTCTTTCAGATCGCTTGCTTATTTTTATTAGAAATTTGGGAGATTTTTTGATAGACCTGTACCCATTATTAACAAAGTTCGAGTTGGCTTCTCTTCATTTTGAACAGCCAGGGCCACAGTTTTTTGCTTGTCTGAGTTATCCTGTGTGAGGATGTGTCCTGGAGATGAGGAGAGTTTGTAGTCTAAAAGGAGATTTTCATGACAAGATAAAAATCATGTTGCAATTAAGCTGAAATGACACATAAGCCTGTGGTTAAATTTGGAATTACTGATTTGGTTTTATATCACTCAAATGGTGCTGAGTGACATGTGTTGGACTTGGGTAGAGAGCTTGTTTTATTGCTTCCTCTTCTGATTATGCTGCTTGTGTTTAAGTGGAGAACTTTGTTCTGCCAGACAAGCTGGTGTATTTGCTCCTCATATACTCCTGTGACCTTATGCTTTCAGAGACTCTTACTGGCAGTGGTTCTCTAAATTAAAGTTATTGGATGCTGAGCTGTGCTTAAAAACAAGCAAAGAAAAACTGTGGCTATACAATGAACATTTTGAACGTTTTAATTTGTTCTTGACAAACAGGCCAGTGCAGCTCTTTCTTGTGTATCTTAAAAAGTGAAGGGACTTGTAATATTTTTTCCATTAAGAACAGTGGAACAGGTATCTGAAAGTATGGATTCTACTGTGGCATAATTCAAAATGTTTACCTCTATAGTGTGACTAAATTACATTCAAAAACTGTTTTAAGAAGTTCTTCTTCAGTGAACTACATAATTTCTTGGAGGGAATCGCATGAACTTGGTGGTATTGTCATCAAAGCATTCGGTCTGTCATCATTCTGAGTTTTGAGCTGTTTTAAAGAGGTGCTACGAAATAGTAACATTTGTGTTTTACAGCAAAAAACTTCTCTAAATGTTCATATTTTCTAGAGGGATTAGAAAAGTAAATCTAACTCTCAGACTGTGAAACTCTGCCATAATTAGCTATCTCCCCAGTGTGTGCTGTACACAAATAATTAAAAGAATGTCAGTGCTCTCTTTAGAAAGCTTCTGGCTGGTTTGTGTGCATGTATATTGGCAGCAAAGGGGAAAAAGCAATTGGTAACTTCTTCTGACATTGAAAATTAAGCTGAGCCATTGATAGTCTTTTAAGGATATTCTTTATAATGTGGATGTTCTAAAGAAGGGTGTTTTTATAGTTGTGCTGTTATTCTTCTTCCTTTTAGCCAACTTTGGCCAAATGTGGAAAACTAGGGACCTAAGAAAATCCTGGAGTCTAATGGAATTCCGTGGCTAGGGGAAGGCAGAGTCATGTTAGTGTTTGGATTTACTTAAAAAGCACTAAAGACTTCACTTGGGGGAACGTTTGAACATCCACATTAGTAGAAGTCTATTTTTATCCTCTCTTGTTACCTGGTGTATTAGTCAGCAATTGAAGTTGTTGCATGGAGTATGCATCAGGATGGTGTTCCAGAGAATATTTGGTCTATGAAGAGGATTTCATGGAAGCAAATTTCTCAGTACACTGACTCTGGTTTTGTGTTGGGGATGTAGATCTTGCTACACTGCCTGGCCTGGCAAGATGAGAAGAACTTTAAAGAAATGAACTGTGGGAGAGACTTGGTTTGCCAGCATGTCTGTATGCAGGAAGAGGAGAATAACATACATAAAGGGGAAAATGATGGACAGCATAGAGAAGGAAAGTATTGCAGTTGATGAGAGGAGTACTTAGATAAGTAATTGGTGAAAAGGCTGTGCTCAGTAAAACAGGCAGAAAGCAGGTGTGGTGTTTGTGAAAGAACCCAGATATTTGCACAGTAATGCGAGGAGTGCAGCCAGCAAACCAGAGGAACAAGAACTACTGGTGTGGGATGTAAAAACTATTATACCTGTAACAAAAAAAGTGGTGGGATTGCATCGTGACCTGAAATGGGTGTTGAAGGGCATGTGTTATTTGGAGCTGTCAGGAATCAAGAGAGGTTGGTGTGCATGTGAATGGTGTGCTGGAGAATGAAAAGGAATAACATCAATGAAAGTAAACCTGAGGCCTGATTCAGTTTGGAAGAACATGGTTTTTGTACGTTGGGAAGAGTAGTATGTATGTGACCAGTCAAAGGAGAGACTGGCTTGGGACATGGATTGGGGAGCTAATGCTGCTAATAATAGTAGCACATCGTCATACTCAGGAGTGGCAACTTTCTTCTTTGGCCTCTGAATTTACAAGAAATGATGCAGCTTTAAATTTAGAAAATACCTTTGGATTTAGATGAGCAATCGTGAGATGATTCAGCTAAATGTAAATACTTTTTAATTAAAGTTCCTAATTTCAATAAAGCCAGGCTGAACACTGAAAGAGCTAGTTAGTAAAGCCACCTGGACTTGTGAAACTTGGAAAATTAAAATATCTGTAAATTAAAAAGCATGGAAACTCTCTGAAGCATGAAAGGAAGGCTTGCAAGAAAGAGCCGTGAATCTGGTTGGGAAGCTTGTTAATCTTCAGCCTTTGAGCTACTAATGGCACACTCCAACATGAGCAACTTGGAACTGATCAATGCCAGCGAGTTAGGGTTTTGTGGTGGTGCTGAAGGTGTGTTTTAATGACTGCTTAGTCATGTGGGTATTTTGAGAGGTTTAATACAAAGCTATTGGAAGTTATTTGTCACTGTTGGTTTAGTTTACCTTTTTTTAGGCCTGATTTCATTTATGTTACTAACAAAGGTATTAAAAGAAGAGGATCTGTAATTAAAAAATTAGTTTTGTATTCATATGTTGTCAGAAGTACAAGAAACGCTCCATATTCTAAGACTGTTTTGTCAGAATAATTTCTTCTGGCGTTTTTTTTCAGAACACAAGGCATTAATTCACTGGCAATCTGAATAAGTGTATGAGATGCCTGGTTTTTGCTAGACCATATATATTTCTCTGAAGATTTTAGTTATAGCTGTTCTTTTATTCTCTCTTATCAGAATGACCGTTTTCCTTTAAAACATGAAATTCCCAAACTTACCATGTGCAAAAATACTGTTCCCCCTGCCCTTCCCAGTAGGCGCACACCTGTCAGTGGAATCTGCAGCAGTGATTACCCTCAATTCATCTCTCTGGTAGACTAAAACCAGTGGCTGCTTGCTCTTGTGAGCATACTAAAAATTGCTGGGAGGGTTTATGTGGCATGTGCCTGTGACTCTCTTCTGCTTAAGCAGTGGAGCTTCATGAAATTTGTGTACTGTTCCGTGTCAACAGTACTTGATCCTAAAAATAGTTTATCCTAGAGTAGACTATTCTGTGAAATGGGAGAAACAGGCATTAGTATCTTAAACCAGGACTTTTACTAATGGGAATTTATTATTTCTACTCACTTTCCCTTATGCTTCTATACAAGTAATCAAAGTAGCAACGTGGTTTTTCGACTGATATTTAAACCCAGAAGAGGGAAGGGATCTGCAGTTTACCTTTTATTGCTTATTGGATTTCCAGCTTTGCTCCTACCAGAATATCAGATCAGCTTCTGCAGACACCCTGCCTTCTTTGCAGGCCTTCTGGTCTAACTCACTTTCAGGAGGTCGAGCAGAGCAGAGTTTAGTATAGCTCTGTCCATTTGCCTTTGTTTTCTTGCTACAGGCTTGATGTTTGTTCCTGTTGCTTAGGAATTAGAGTGGATGTCTTTAAACTCCAGTGCCTTTCATGAATCCTATCCATATCAGTTTTTCAGCTTGCAGTTAACAGTGGTGATCATTTAATTTCCTTCCTTCGTTTGTTTATATTTAAAACCCAGAATTCTTTCCATAAATAAATGATCAGATTGTGCTGTCAGATGTCTTTGGGTTTCCCCCAGCATCTGAGTTTGAAAGCCTTCAGTTCATCCTGTAGTGCACACCCCTGCCCAATGTCACATTCTTCCTTCTCAGTATTGTTCTCTAGACCTGCTTGGTCAGAAACAAGAACACTAGAAGGTTTCAGTGAGCTGAATTCCTAGGGGTTGTTCCCCCTCTGCCTCCCCGAGCCTGAGTGAAGTGATCAAAACCAGCTCTTTGTTTTATTTCACCAAGGATATCGTATTTGGTTGAAGTGACTGTTGACATTTGTGTGCTTTTTAGTACATGTCCTCTTTTAAAGCTAGATAATAATGATAAAAACCTCTGAGCATTCCCACACTTTTTCTGAGCCCTTGCTGAACTATTTCTTTACCTTACCTCCTGTGTTTAAATTATAAGCTCTTTGCAGTCAGCCTTTTGCCTTGAATAGTGCTCGTCACAGCAGGGTGCTGTTCTTTGTTGGCATTGATGTCCTGGCATAATACAATTGATAGCACACGGTGGGGAGCTGCTTGATCTGAGAAGAATCACTCCTCTCTGGGAAGTTCTGAACTGTATTCCCAAATACGGAGGCACAAAACTGGACTTAATCTTGAAGTTCTCTCACCTCTCAAATTACCAAATGTAATTAGAAGCTTTTACCCTTGTAAAGATGTGAGCGACTTGACATCTGTGTCACAGAAACTCTGTAAACTAGTTCAGCTCCCCAAAATCCAGTATTCACCCCTTTATGACTCCTGACCATACAGAACCATTCTGTGTTACAGGCAGTGCCATCTCTGCCTGCCCTTTCTGTGGTGCATGGCAGACCTTGGTGTGTGTGTGGCAGATTGTGGTTTCTCTTTTTGCTCCTCTGAACACAATTTTCCATTTGGTGTCATGTTTGTCCCCCCATGCAGAGCTGCTCAGCACACGTACGTTCTGGCCTGTCCCCGTCTCAGCTGGTGCCAGCTCTCACTTTTGTGTTGTCTGAGCTCTCCTGCCATTTACACTGCTTGGCTTTTTGCTTCCTTTTACTTGATCCAACTGAAGGACACACTGAGGGGGAAAAAGAAAGAGCCTTCTGCTCTGCTTCTGTGCTTGACTTCCCTTAATGAGACACCATGTGCAAAGCAAGTGTTGCTGAGATCCTGCGGATAAATTCTGCAGAGTAATCTCCGTGGATGTACACGGAAGAGTGTGGACAACGTAACTGAATTTCTTCCAGCCTCTGACAGGCAAGCTCATAGTTCTTTCAGACTGAAATTTGGCTGCATTTGTCCCTTCTTTTTTTTGCCATGTCCTCAAGAGAAATAGCAAACCCCGTATGCATGGCACAGATCTTTTTCTAGGAGTTATCAGGGCTGTGACACCACATGTTTAACTAAAAGGTAGTTAGAGAAGTAAGCAAAATTTCCAATACATTAATTTTTCTCGTGAATGATTGTTGCACCGTTTTGCTTCAGAACTGAAGAGGTGTATCAATATAAAAGGCAGTAGGAGCCATCAGCATGACAAACTTCTATTCTGAATTGGTAGCTCCAAGTTTTAAACAACTGAAAATAGCCACGGAATCAGCACTGTTGGACAACTTTCTTGATGTATGGCCCTGTACTTAGACTATAATTGTGCTAGAGTGAATGAGATAGCAAGTCTAAATTGGAAGGAGCTCGGTGAATACTAATCATGACTTAATCCACTGGGAAACAGATTGGAAGATGCTCATGTCCAGCATACTGTAGTATTTGAGGGGAGAAAAAAATAGCACCCCATGAAGTTTCCTTTGAAACCATTTTTTCCTTTTCCTCACCAAGTAATAAGCAAATTACATTTCTGAAGTAATTATATGAAGTCAAAGGGAATGAATCTGTCTTGGCTAGTAAAAATACTACTGTTCCTGCTATTGCTGGTGGTTGTGGTATCTGAAAGAATAAATATCTTGGAAAATAACTGATATAATAATTTGATAGCTTTCAGAATATTAAGTATGCTCATAAGCACTAAAAATTATGGCCTTTTCTTTCTGAAACACTCAAAACATGGCTAGGCTGTGACCTTCTGACTCAGGTTGTTACCATAAAGCTTAGTCCATGGCATTCTTAATTTATTTTTGAAGATGAAAGTATTTGTAAAGATAAAAGTGTTTGTATAGAGGAAGCAGGAACAGCAAAGTACGTGGGAAATTCTTCCGCAGAGTATTGAAAAAGTACAATAGCAAACCAGTCCAATTACACCTTTGCCACCAGAATCTGCAACAGCTTTTCACCACAGTCAAATGACTTAGAGGCTTGTTAGCATGTCTTTATTGCCCTGGAAAAAGTTGTCATCGTTGCTTTTCTTGGAGGCAGAAATTCAGGTCAAATAGAAGCAATCTAATATTTGAAGAGCACCAGTTTATTAAGCAGCTGACAGCGCTGGGCTTTAGAAGTGACTTGTGGTGGCTGCTTTCTGCCACTTGAGTCCTGGTGTCAGCGACGAGTCTGCTGACACGGGCAGATGCTGAGGAAGGAAGGAGAGTCCTGCTTCCTGGGTGCAGACTGATTGAACTCACTTCGTGTGGAATCTGGGCAGCTATTTTTCAAATCACCTGGCATAAATTCTGTCAGTTTAAGACGTTAGCCCAAGTAACCCTTTCTTAACCTTGCATGTCAAAACCTGTGAACTTCTGTTTTATTCCTGGGGGAGATAAATTGTTAAGTCCTTGTGGGCGTTCTGTTTAGCCGTGGAGGGTCAGCCATATGGTGCTGCATCTGCTCTCACTTCTGAAAGGGAACTAATTCTTCATGTGTTTGGTTCTTACTGGTTCTCTGGGTTTAGCTGTTACCATTTAATGCCGTGGGAAAACAGAGCTTCCCCTCTTGAACTCTGTGCAATTTGATAAAGCATTCTACTTTAGCTGGCGCTATTTTTAAAGTGTTGCCATAACTGAAGATTTGCTTTTTTAGTGTCTCAGTTTTGCTCTGAAAATCGTATTGTAAATACTGCTACCGAACCACAAGGATTAAAAACAAATTCTAAAACCAAAAATAGATTGGCCTTTAAAGTAATAAAAAGAAAATAGTTAACCTTCACTGTCAAATTATTTTCCCATTTAGTGTCCTTTGAAACGTGTGCTGACTGAATTTCGTGGCGCTGACTTTGCCTGTGATAGATAGTGTCTTCTAATATTGAACACTACAAGTACTACTTTATTCCTGTAAGGCCGTGCGAGTGTGTCATGCACGGCCGTTCCTTAATGGGTGATCTCTGTAGACATGTAATTCCTGGGATAACGTGATAATTAAATATCCCTTGCTTATCCCATTAACCCAGGGCAAACTCAGTATGCTAGAGCCAGATGAATGCAAAGTCACTCTGCTGTTCCTGGGCTACAGCTGGGGATTTTTTTTACTCATCAGTGCTAACATTTGTTCTGAGGAGTGCAGTTTGATGTTGGGTCTTGTGGGGATCTTTCCCCCAGGTAATGCACTGAACAGCCTCCAACTCGGGGTTTAAATTGTCATGAAATTGCTGCAAACCTCTTGCTTTCTAAATACAGTCTGAAAAGAGAAAGTTTTAATGACATGATTTCATATGTACTTCAAATAGATGTAGTTAAACCTGTTGAAGATGACTATGTAACTTCTCTTTATTTAGGATCATGGCTGGTTTATTTGGTTTAGTGAGGCTAAATAGAGCTAATCAGCTTTAAAGGAAAATAAGCTGATTTTTTTAATATAGAAATGAATGTCTGCACATCTCTTCCTGCTGGTTAAATTCTATTACCTCCAGTAACATCCAGTAGTAGTAACATACTAGTAGATGTTTCTAATGCTTACATTCTTGGGTTCTTCATTTTTTGCTTTTTAAGGTTAATCCCTTGTTTCCAGATTAATCTTTCTCGGTGCTCATCTCCATCTTTCTCAAAGGTTTCTCCCCACCACCGTGCCAGCCTTCCTGCTTAGGATCCTGCTAGTTTTGCTGGCTGTGGCCCACCTGCAGTGTCTCCACATGACTTGTGTGTTCTTTATTTACTCCTGGTAGGCACAGGGAGCCCTCCAGGCCCTTTCCTTGTGTAACGTCTTGCACGTTGTTCTTTCTCAGTTACTAAACCTAATTGTCATGTACACCTGTTAGACCTGCCACTGAGATGGGGGTGTGTGTGTGGTTTTGTGTCAGAATTAATGAACTAATGTTTCCTTTAGAAGCCTGAGAGTGAACAAAAAACCTCGTTCTTCTGCCTGAAGATGGGTTTCCTTTCCTGGTTTTAATTCTGTCCTAGATCTCAGAGAATGTGTTGGAAAATATATTGGAGACGTTGTCTTATGTCCTTGAACACACAGCTGAGGAATGAAGCAGCTGGGGAGTGGGCAGTTCTGTCAGCAGGAACAGATAAAATGCACCAGGGATGATGCATTTGCTGCAGCAGTTGAAATGATGAGCATCAAGTCTTGTGCTGTCTTTGTTTACCTGAGTGTGTCATATGCCACATATGTCTTGAATTCAAACTCAGAGAAAGTTTAATAAAATGAAATCTGCCTTGGCTTGCATCTTTGCCCAGTACTGACTGTTCCTTCTGGTCCTCGGGCTTGACAGGGAAGGAGAATGTGGACTCGAGGCACAACCGAGGGAGAGGAGGAGACACAACCCGCTTTCACACTCTCAACATGGCACAGCCTGTCCGATTTAGCAGTAAGTTGCAGACTGGGAAATCTGGGCCATCTTTCTGCTAATTAATTTAGAAATTTAAATCCAGCCCTGTGACCTGCAGCACTGCTTGTGCCACTGTTGGCATCCCAGTCCCAGCCTTACCTAAAGCATTATGAACGCCCTGCAAGTGTCCTTCCCATCTCTTGAGGCCCAAAACATCTGAGTCTCCCCTGCCTTTTTCCTCTTAGCTTGGTTCCCTCTTTGCTCCAGTGATCATCCAGTGATTTGGGAATGAGACACTGCGCTGATTAGCAGTGGAAACTGGGATGAGACAGGTTAGGAAGACAACGTGGGAGGAAGGCATGGGAACATCTGGAACATGAGAATGATTGTTTGAACTCTGGTGATCTTCTGAAAAAGACAAGTGATTGGTATTTTGATTTATCATGGATTCTGGTAGCTAAATTATGTTATTAAAATTTATAGAGGACAATAAAGCAATTTAGAAATCAATACAGCAATTTTTAATATGCTCTGCAGTCTGATTGGTACTGTATTCTGCCCCTCCTTAGTGATGTAAACAGTACATATTAAAAGATCCTCTATAAATGGAGAATGAGGAAAGGTATTTAATTAATGGGCTTCAAACCTAAGTTTGTATATCATTATTTGATGGTAAAGATCACTGTTTCTGAAGGGAATAATGAGGCTTGAGAACAGAACTGTGAATTGCATGGAATGAACATAAACCAGTTTCTGAATATGAAGTTTCTCTCTTATGTGTGCAAAATTAATACTTCAGGTGCAGGTGCTAAAACCATATTTTTAAATTTCATCCACCTGTCTCCGTGATTCTCTCTATTAGTCACCCATCACCTCCATGAATGTCAGTCCAAAGCCCATGGGCCTGTTTCATCCAGAAATGCCTCCAGGCTTTTGTTTCAGTTCCCTCAACTGAGTTAATTGAGAGAAAGCCAAGACAGCAGTTCACATCATCACCTTCTTTCTTCCTAAAGATCTACTTTACAGTGATGTTTTTCCAAAGCAACCATGAATTTCCCCAGAACGCCCATCATCTTCAATGATTGACTCTGGGAGCAGGATTATGTCAATACTGCTGAGACTGTTTGTAAGAGTAGGTTGAAAACTTCACGGCAAGTTGGATGTACTGCTCACCACCTCACAGAGAGACAGAGTCATTAAATTGGCCACCTCTGGTTTTTATTTCCTGCTTCTTGCCGCTTCTTTTTACTTGGATTGATTGAGTTGATTTGTTTTATAACGATGCGTAGGGGAATATCTTCCACGGTAGATTGTCAGTCTTAATTAAAAACTTTAAAGGCTGTCACAGTGTGATGAAACTCCTTTACTAGGAGTTGGATCTTTTAAAAAACATCTAAAAAAAAAAAAATCAACATTTATCAGAAACTGTAGTAAAGTAAGCCTTCAGTGATCTGTAATGTGTGCATCTCCTCCTGCAGAGGTGAAGTGTACACAATGTGTTGTGTGTACCCATCCAAGTGGGTATTCATTGCATTGTCATAAACTGATTAGGATGCATTATCTTAAAGATCCTAATTTGGGGGGAATGGTTTCCCTTCTATTCTTCATGTTTCCTAGGAAAGTGCCCAACAGGATGGCACCACTACGAGGGCACAGCCAGCTGTTACAGGATGTATTTAAATGCGGAGAACTACTGGGACGCTGCGCAGACATGTCAGCGGGTGAACGCATCCCTCGCCACCTTCACTGCAGACCAGGAGCTGAGGTTCATCCTGGCTCAGGAGTGGGACTTGGAAGAGAAAACATTTGTAAGGAAGCACCAGCATCCGTGAGTAGGAAGGAAGGGATGAGAATGGTTTCTGTGTGATACAAATATTGGCTGTTCAGTTTGGGTCGCAAATCTAACGGTAAAATTGACATCAGGTGAATAACCCACTATGAACGTGCTGCTTGGTCATTTGGCAGTGACCATCTGTGTTTCACGTTTTAATTAACATTAACAGGCAACTAAATTCAGCAGTCTTTTTATCTTCAGGTTGTCTCAGCGATGCACAGTTATTCTTGAACTGCAACAGGAAGGTGATTTCATAGTGACTTACTGCTGCACTACCTCGTATAGAAATAATTACTTAAATTTTTCATCAGGATTTGATTTCCAACCTGTAACTCTAAAAAAACTTGGAACTTGGAGATAGGAATGAAGTAAAAAGCCATTCGGAGTTAAAGTAACTGTGTTCTGGTGACTTTAGATATTTCATTCTATTAGTTCACAACAAACATTTCCTTTTTTTTCTGCCTGTGGGTTTTTTGTCAGACTCATGGGCTGCTGTGGCAGGTCACCAGGAATGGTTCAGTAACGATATATCTCTGTCTCTGGAGATGGTTTGATCCAGAACAGTCTGACATAACTTGCATATATTTAGAAATACTTAACTTCTGGATGCTGTTGTGTGATTTTTGAGTTTTTGATACTTAACTGCTGCCATAACAACAGAATAAGGTGCTTGTTGTGAGTAGAAATAAAAGACACAGTCAGTTATAATTTGTAAACATAGAAAATGATCAAGTGTTTTTTCCAAAACGATCAAGAGTATTTTCCTCTGTTCCTCAAGTGTAGTCTCTACATTGCCAACATATGGGCTGAAATGATAAGGAAAAAAGCCATTGGAATGTTATGATAAAAATTAACTTGCATAAATAAAGACATTGGAAAGTTCTGTGTAATTTAATTTGTTAGTATGTTTTTGTCCTGTATACTTAGAATGTAACTTAATTTTTTGGCAGGTTCTGGGTTGGATATCAGTATTTGATCACCAATCGAAATCACTCCTGGGAAGGTCACTGGGAAGTAGCTTATAAAGGTAAGCCTCTCAAATTACTGCTTAGTTCAGTGGCCCGTGGAAACTGTCTTAAAGCATGAATATAATTTGAAAGATTAACACAGCCTTTTTTAGTGATAGTGTTGAATACCATAGGGGAACTGCTTTGCTTTACAATGTGGAAATGAAAGAGTTTAATACTCCATACATGTCTTATTTTAAAGTTGAGGAAGTTTCGTGGTTTTTCACATTGATGTCTTGTGCAAAGAACATGTTGTTTGTTTATTTGGGCTTCCCACTTGATTAAGCTGAGAAAAAGGAAACTACTGTAGTTTCTTGTTCTTTGTGAATATCTAGATGAACTCCTGATTTTAGTATTTGCACAGACTAGTGTAGCATGTTGGGGCATTTTAACTCTTTAAAAATTGGAAGAATTTTATATACTTTAAAAAACCCACTAGAACTTTTTCAGAATTGCTCTTGTTTTTTTCTATTAAAGTACTTCAGGTAGTTTACTTAAACCAAATCGAAATTTGCATAATTCCAAAAGTATATCCCAGTTTACATGAAAAAGTGAACATGAATCTGTTGGGCTTTGCTGGCTGAACTCTTTCAATTGCAAAACAAGCAGCTCCCTCTGCTGACAATGCGATCTTTCTGCACCTCTTATTTTTAACGAATTCAGCTGAGGGATTAGTTAATCTTAAAGTCATTATATGAACTCTTATGTGTACAGTTGCCTGTCTAATTGCTGTACTTGTTTAGATAATGGAAAATTTAAAGCAAAGGTGAGGTTTCTTTTAAGCACCAGCACTGTGCAGTCCAGTGTAGCCTTTGAAAACCAAGCTGAGTAGGTTTTTTTTCTTATGCACAATTGTTGGTATCCATGGAAAATGCAGAAGGAAAGCTGTCCCTTAGGTACAGATAATAATTATGAACAGAATTTTACTAAACAGTTGGGTCTTGAAAAATACTTCCTTTGACGTGAATTCAAACATTCTCCTTAAAAGGACCTTTCTTTGCTCTTTGGGAAACTGACTGCACTGCCATCTGCTGACAGTGCTAACAACCAGGGGGGCATAAATTACAGAAAAATCATCATAACTTTATTGTAAGTTTTATTTAATTTGATGCATTATATAAATTTAAGCTTTCTCAGTACGATAGATTGTTTTATTTTCAAGTGTGGTATTTATTAAGGAGATGCCTCTATGAAATAAAGTCTATGGTAGTACACAGTAGCATTCAGTAGTTTCTGAAAAACTTTTCTTAGGCTTCATTGACTTATATTGAAGCAGGCTCTGAATTCCTAATGCCTGTTTGAAAAGTGATTTAGGGTTCTATAGCTGGAAAATTGTCACTTATTATTGGGACATGTGAAACGTGTCCTCAAAGAACTAATCAGCACCCTTTGCACTGTTTGGAACCCACCACAATGCCGTTTGCTGACGCGAGTTGGAAGGAGCAAACAGTGGATGCCCCAAGTGCAGCTGCAGCAGCGGTGCTGAGGCCTTGCTCTCAGCACTTGGAATGAGTGACAGGAGATGTGGGGAGCACAGGTGGATGCACAGGCATCAGTGGGTGCTTGGAGTGCCAGGCACAAGATGGGTGTGTGGGTTCTTGCTCCGCTCGTAACAAGCGTGGCCAAACTCGGCGTGGTTTGAGGAGATGTGTAGCTGTTGTCAGGCAAACCCCGTGGGACTCTGGAAAGCAGCACTTGTGAAGATACCAGAATATCACTTTTCCTGGTTCAGAGTGACAGAATTACCCGGTCCTTTGAAAACAGCAGCCTCTTTTCTCTGTGAGTCACCCCTTCCCTCCCAGCTGTTTGCCTTCCCTGGAGCGGTGTTGCTAATGGAAGCTGGAGCTGGAGGGCAGCAGCCTTGGTGTGCATGGAATGAGTGACATTACAGAGCCTTTCTAAAGCTTTGGATACCCACAGGCTGCTTATGCCAATGTATCTTGTTCCAGGCTCTTCAGAAGTGTTTTTACCCCCTGACCCCGTCTTTGATTCGGCTATGTCTGAAAAGGAAAACGTTTTTTGTGCCCAGCTTCAGTGTTTCCACCATCCTAACTTCTGCCACCATGGTGTGCACAGCTGGCATCCTGAAAACTGCTATGAGAAATCTTCATTCCTCTGCAAAAGGAGTAAGTTGGTTTCAGTTCAGTGTTAATTGTTATATGCATATAAAAAATAAACAGAATTTGTTTCTTTATCCTTTCTGACCTTTGCCCAGTGAATTAAAAAAAAAAAAAAGGGTGGCGTTACGTTTCTGCTTGGTTTTAATAAATAAGAGCATTGTAATGTGTGGCTGTCACACAGTACAGAGTTTCACTAAAAAGTTGTTAAGCTGCAGTATCAGCCCTAAAATAAAGTACCCTTGGGACAAAAAAAAAAATTTTTTTAGAAAAGCGCCTTATTAGTAAGCATCACTCTTAAATTATTAATTTCACATTAAAATGAAACACTTGTTTCTGGTTTATTTTGAATATAGAAGATTCTACTAAATTCTTTCCAGGCAGTTACTAGGACTAGAGGAGAAAAGACAAGTGGAGCTTACTGACTTAGAGAAGAAAAGCCATTTTTTTTCACTTTATCTTGAATTTCTGTACTCCAAAAGCCTCGATACCAGCAGAAGTATTGGCAGGATTATCAGGTAGTCTTGTAGTCTTAACCATTACCTGATCTAGATGGTGCTTCTTTGCAGGAAGGAGAGAAGCTGATTAATTGTGAGGGTTGTCAGGAGTGTGACTGACTCCTGGGATGATTGTGCAGCCTCTGTCTCCAGAGGTTTTTATGACCAGATTAGATAAAACCCTGAGCAACCCATTGGGATGCCATAGCTGACCCTGCTTGGATCAGCAGATTGAGCTGGAGGCCTCCTTAGGTCCCTTCCAGCCTGAACTTCCCAGCTGACCTGTGCATAGGGTGGAGGGGACAGGCCATCCTCCCTGAGCAGCTGCTCCAGCTGACACGTCCCAGCACTGTTTGTTCCCTCACTCTGGTTTTGGTACCTGCCTTTAGGACAGTAGGCAGAAGGCAGCTGGGCAGGGATCAAGGTGCCGCTAGGACAGGGGTAGTACTATTACCTGGCTTCCTTCTTTAGGCTTGGCCTGTTTTAAGTGTCCTTCAGGTTTGGCTCGGAGAAGATCCATCTTTTCCTAAGTACCAGGGGAGAGGAAGGGACCCGCAGGAGGCTTTGGCAGTGAAGCTTAAACTTCTCAGTCCACCTACTTTCCTTTTTCTTGGAGAGGATGCCTGAAAGTGTGTCAGCTCCATTAAATACGTGAAACTCACCTTCTCAGTTTTGAGCAGTAAATCATCCCTGTGTGCCTTCAGACTATCTGTTATCTTCCCTGCTCCTTGGAGATCCCTTTTCAAAGTTGCTGCAAGGTGTAGGCGTGGATTTTAACTGGTGGTCTGCTTATGCTTACAAACCACTTAATGCAACAGAATAAACTGGATTCCATCGGTATTGACGTGCCTTTCTGTTCTAGGCCAGACTTGCGTTGATATCAAAGACAACATTGTCGATGAAGGATACTATTTCACCCCAAAAGGGAACGATCCCTGTTTGAGCTGCACGTGTCACAACGGTGAGCCTGAGATGTGCGTGGCTGCTTTGTGTGAACGGCCCCAGGGTTGTCAGCAGTACCGCAAGGACCCGAAGGAGTGCTGCAAATTCACCTGTCTAGACCCAGGTAAGAGTTGACTGCTGCAGTGTTGTCAAGAAAAAGTAATTGAGTACTCAACTTGATTATGTTTGGGTATAACTTTGTTTGAAATGATGCATCCTTGCGGTGCCTTGATATTGTTGGGTACAGCTGCCTCGTGGGGGAAGATCTCAAATCACAGGAAGGGAATTGCTTCAGGCTGTGGCTGGTAAAAATTTGTTATCCTTGATGCTACTTAGAAAGGAAAAACAGTAGCTTATTTTCAGTAGGGAGATTGATAGTACTGTGGGTTATTAGTACAGCATCTTACACAATTCCTTTGTCATGCTTAGTTGTCATGAAAAGGAAGCACTTTTCTCTTGAGCACTAATTAAACAACTTTTTCTGGTTGTGAGCGGAAGTGTGGAAGTTTGCATGCAGGGATCATGGGAGAAGCAGAGTTTTTAAACTGTGTAAATTTGAGCAATCATCAGGACGTACAACTCTGCTTATTGGATTTGGCATATCAGTGCAGCTTCTTGTTTTGGATCAGTAAAGTCTTCAGTTGACTTTGAGTTGTTTGTCAGTCACCATTTAGTGGTGTGGGTTTTGGGGGGGTTATTTTTCTGTGAAGAGACTTGAAAAAAGAAACATGGCTTCCTTGGAATTTGCTGTGGGGGTGGTCAAATACTGGAGCAGATTGCTTGTGGAATCTCCATCTGTGGGATATTCAGTGCCTGACTGAACTCTGTCCTGGGCAACCTGCTCTAGCTGATGCTGCTCTAGGTGATCTCAGGATTTTCCTTTCAACTTCAACCGTTCTGTGATACCGTTATTTTTTGGTATTTTAAAAGAATCTAATCTTATCTGAGTGTGCTAAGAAACCATTGTTCTGAATTCCTGTGGAAAACACAGAAGGTCAACTGTTCCCATCAGGGACTTCTGTTTCAGTCTGTTACAAATTCCAGATTTGCTTATTGACTTCCACATTTGCGGTCTTTCTGCTTGGTCTTTGCTAGAACAGTTAATCATTAAAGGCCACTGGCTCTTCCTTGTGTCATTCATGTTTGTTCTGAGGGTTAAGCTTAGCAGATGTTCATAGCTTGTGTTGCAGGTCGGTCGGTGAAAGAGTGGGGGAAAAAGCAGGAATCTTCCTCCCACTCCTATCAGCTGAGCTAAGACTTAGGCTTCACTTTTTATATCTTCAGGAACAGTGTCAGCAAAGCATCATCCAGCACGCAGGATAAGATGACCTGGGATAACCTTGTGCCGTGTTCTTTAATCCTTGCTTATTCCTGTGGGTCTTAACTATTGATGAATACTGATTTGAAGAGTGTATTTTACCACATCCTTTCTCATCCTTAAGCTCTTCCTTCTGTACTGATGCTAAATGAGACTGTTTCATTACACTCTTGCTTGAAGTGTTCTGGTGGTTTTTTTAGTAGCTTAGTTTTTGAGAGAAGAATTATCAAGCAGTCTTCCAACTTCCTTCATAATGAAGTTACTTCAGCTAGTGATAAACACTGAAATTTTTAAAGGGAACATTTCAGTTTTCCTTTGGGTGTTTATAAATGACTATTCCAGATGACAAAAATTAATGAATTACTTTCTTTAATCAGAATATATTTATCTTCATCCAGTTCTTTCATATATCTTCCCTAAGCTCTGTTGCAAAGGAAAGAAACAGTTTACTGATCAACATTAAGTAAATTAATCACCCAAGGAGAGACCAGGGGGAAATAAATCCTGCTGTTGGGTTGCCAGGTAATCAGCTCTTTCAGTGTGAGTGGGTGAGCAACGATTACAAGTGGATAACGAATATTACTCAAGGACTTGGTAGTATGGGAGTTTTTTCAGTGGTAGGAGTAAGCTGAGCAATCACAGCTATACTCTCCTGAAAGATGCTTCTCTTTATTTAGTGGAAGATAAATAGCAGAGGAATATCTTTTATATACTAATGCTGAAACTGAGGTAGTCTGTCTATTGATACTCCACAGATGTGGTAGAAAATGATTTTTCTTCTGTGATTCTCGTTTAGACAGACCTGCAACTCTTATTTGTGTAGAGGTAATAGAAGAAATAAAATATTTGGAAAGAGCTGGTGTGCAGAAACCATTCTATTGACTAAACTGGTGCAGTTAGAGGGTACTAATAGTATACTGAGTGTAGAAACAGCTTTTCTGAAATAATCTACTTGTGATTTTTTGGGTTGGAAATCTCTGTGATGATCTGGATCTTGTTTTGAACAAGGTAGGTCTTTGTCTTTTTTTGTTGTTGAACGTTAGGAGCAGTGTGATGGAGGCCCATGACACGCCAGAAGATCCAAGAATTGCAGTCATAGCTGGTCTAAAGAAATATGGAAGTCAGGCTTGCCTAAGTGTTACAACCCACCCCTGAGGGGAAGGAAGCACCTAAGACTTGTAAATGCTGAGCATTTGATCAAAAGGAACAATAAAAGTCAGAGGGTCCACAAACAGTCAGAAAGTTTGATTAGTGAATTGCACACTTGGCAGGGAAATTGGTGTGTTAGTCCCTGTCCTGCTATATAAACACCCAGCAGGGGGTTTTGGATAAAGGAGTAGGGTGAAAGGGAAGAGAGGAATTAAAGAGGGAGAGAGGAATCAAAGAAAGAAAGGAAAAGAGAGAGAGGAAAAAGAGAAACTAAAGAAAGAAAAGAGAGAGAAAAAGATCACCAGTCTTGGTTCCAGCGTTGATCCAGCTGAGGGGATGTTGATCCTGGTTTCAGCATCGATCCAGCACTGTGCTGTATTGTGGCTCTTTCTCTCAGAGAAGTGCTGCCCTATTTCCATCTTCCCCCCTTCTCCAGCCAAATCCTGTTCTTTCTCACAGCATGTTAATAGCAATAGACCTTGGTGATTACCAACAGTTCCTGTCTGTTATTACCAACAGTCCTTGGTTGGCTCCACAGCCATCCAGTTATCGTTGTCTGAGACATACACATTACCCCCTTGTCGTATGAGAATCGAGAGCTCTAAAGGATCTCACTTTGCACTGCTGTTTAGAGGGTGGGCTTTAGTCAGGGTAATTTTCCATCCTGGCCACAGCCTGAGTTGGTAACTTTCTTTGAAGGTTCAGTAACAAAAATATTACTCTGTTTGGGTGGTTGTTCTGGCAAGAAAAACAAGTTCCTGAGGCTGTTCATTAAAAAACAGGTGTTCATTAGACACCTGTTAGTTCCTGGGAACAGGCAGTGTTTCTGATAAGCTCAAGAGTGGCTTAGTCTAAGTGCAGTTCGTCAAGGCTGAGGCCTGATGAGCATTTCTCAGATCACAGCCTGGGAGTGGGGGATGCACCACTACCGTCCATCCTGTGACCAAAGCCAGCTTCTCTGGCCTCTACACCTATGAGTATATCTTACTGAAGTCACTTCAGTGCTATTAACAGCCTTAAATAATGAATGAGGATCACAAAGCCAGCATTGCTGTAAGATGGAGGAGGAACAAAGGCAAGTCTGGTGTTCAGGAGGGTGCCTTGGTTGGTAGGTGTGTGACTGCCTCGGCTGAAGCTCTGACAGCCATAGCTGCTAAAAGGTTTGACAGCACACAGGCTTTTGTACTGCACAGCCGGATTTGAGAGGGTGCAATGTTCGAGTTCTGTGTGTAGTGCACTATTATATTAATTTCTTGTTGCCAAGAATGCATGACGTAATAAATAGCAGCCTGGTAGCCTTCTATGGTGCATTAGGTGGATTTTTCTGTTAGTAGCACCCCAGCACTTAGAACTGCTGGGAGGCTTTTAGCCTTCTTTTTTAAGGAATCTTTGATACAACTTACCTGCTCTTAGTGAAATGGGAAGTACGGAGGGAGCTCTTGCAGCTGGAGTGGGTGCGGGCAAGGAGAGGTGGTCTGGATCTGGCTGGTTCCTCTGGGAAGTGTGGTGGCACCACAGTGACTGGGAGGAGGGGTCATACCTGCAGTGCTTGTGTCCTGCAGCAGTAGATGACCAGGTAGCGCAACCACCTCATCTGTTTCTTACCCACACCAAACCTGGGTGCATTTCTCATTGAGAACCTTGAATGATAAGGTGGAGCAAAGAACACAGCATAGTCCTCTTCAGGTCATTCTTCTTTGTGCAGACTGTCTGTGTGTGCATGTGCTACATAACCAAGTGTGATTAACTGAACTGTGAAAAATTAATTCCTCTCGTGCCTGGTACTGGGAGAACAGTGGTAATTTGCTCACAACAGCCTTCCAAGTGTGAATCTGCTTAGCAGTGGGATAGAGCTCTCCAGGTTCTAAGCTCTTGGGTCTGTTTCTTGTTTTTCCACTTGCTTTCGGTATGACTCTAGGAAAAGATTTAATTCCCATTCACCCTCATCTCTTCAGTTTCTGAAAGATGATTATCACAATGATTCACTTTTTGAAGGTATTTATAGTTTCTATCCCTTAGTGGTGCTAAACAATGTACCAGTAACATGTGGTACTTAGGTGAGCACATATTGGTGATAATGACAATGTTTAGAGATTTTGTTGTTGAAAATGTTAACGTGTCCAGAAGTCATGTAATGTGTCTATCTGCCAGTTCTCAGAAAGCTTTCCCAAAGCTTTCAGGCTTGCTTTCCTCTTCAGTATAACTTCATCAGCCGTGCCAGGGCAACAAATGGTTGTGCAGGATGCCATTAACCTCTCCTTTTTCCCATTTTCAGAGACCTGAAACCTTCAACATTCTCTCCCTTTTGCTGAGGAAGATATTCTTAGAAACTTTTATATCTTCTTGCAGTAAAAAGATAAATTACCTGATGATTCATGATTTTCTTATATATTTGAAATAGGAGAAGTGTTAAACCAGGCTAATGAATCCCCACTCTGCATTTATCTCTCCACTACTGACAGAAGATCATCAAGGAAAATGAGTCTTGAACAAAAATAACAGACTGCTTTCATATGTTTTATGTAACAGATGGCAACAGTTTGTTTGACTCCATGGCCGGGGGAATGCGTCTGATCGTGAGCTGCATCTCCTCCTTCCTCATCCTCTCTCTGCTGCTTTTCATGGTGCACCGGCTGCGCCAGAGGCGGAGAGAGCGCATAGAGTCCTTGATTGGAGCAAACTGTGAGTACCAGCCTTGTGCCTCGTGCTCATTACTGACAGGTTGGTGTACGTAAAGGTGAGAGATGTCCTGGTCTTGCTTGGCTGTGCCTGTGTGTGTGTCTTGGCGGGGTCTTCAAACTTGAACTTTTTTAGTGGATAATGGAAAAATTTTTTTTTTTTATTTGTATGTGACCCAAGTCTGAAATATCTTCTGTGTGAATGGTGTCTGTAGTTTGAAGAGGTTAGAGTCAGATTTAGAGGTGATGCAGGACAAACAGGCTGGGAGCAGGTGGGCCTGCTATGGTTGTTAACCGCAGCAAGTTGACTTGTATGGGTTATGTAGACTTTTTTAGGCCTCCGGAAGATACGAGTTCCTTGGGTGTGAAAAGTGGAAAAAGGTGTTGAGATCTGACTTAAACTGAAGAGGAAAGCACGAGACAAAGTCGCTGACTCCTTTTCCTTCCCTTGAAACAGTGCACCATTTTAACTTGGGCCGCAGGATGCCTGGCTTCGATTATGGTCCCGATGGTTTTGGAACTGGCCTTACTCCACTGCATCTTTCAGACGACGGGGAAGGTGGAGCATTTCATTTCCACGACCCACCTCCACCCTACACTGCTTACAAGTATCCAGATATTCAACATCCAGATGACCCACCTCCTCCTTATGAGGCTTCTGTCAATCCAGACAGCATCCTCTGTTCCACTCCAGGTACGCAGGCAATCATTTCTCTTTCCTTCCACTCCTTCATTTTGATTAGAGGATAGATTTTTATTTTTTAAGCTATAATCATGTGTTTCAGCAATTGTAATGGGAAAATACACTTTATCTAAAGTCTCCGATTTTTGCGATGGAAAAGTCTTCTGTTAAAATGTATCATTAACGTTGGTTCTTCACAAAGGTTCTTTGGATCACCTAAATTAAAAGAGGAATTGAATCTGCAAGCAGTTTACCTCTTAGACCTTACCCGTTTTCAGGCCTTACCTTGGATGGGTAACCTGGTTAGTTTTCTTTTTTCCACCATGCTGATACAATTTGTGGTGTTTTGAAGATGGGTCTGTAAAGATTAGTATTAAGAACTAGAACAAATGTCAAGTACAAGAGATTTTGAACAAAATATATCCAGCGTCTTCTCTCCTCCCTGCTTCCCCCACCCACATCCCCCCAAAATTGACCAAAAATACCACTTTCTAATGATTCACCCAGTGCTCTTCAGTTTTGCAGCTGTGATATTCACATACTGTAGAAATCATTCCAATTTGGGATTTTATAGCGGCATATTTCACAAGATAAGTGAGCCTGATTAGTGCAAGCATCTTATTTATATGTCGAAGTTTTATTTTTGCTACACAATCTTCCTCTTTTGCAGTCTCATCTTGTTGTGCATTAGCGCAAAACCAGGAAAAACTCAGAGCTTCCAGAAATACGGATCGTAAATCTATTTGGGAGTGTGAAATGTTGTACTTCACGTTCTGATTCTGCTTGTTTTCTGTCCTTTGCAGATGGAGTTCTCTCTCAGACTGTGCAAAGCAGTCCTCCATCGCTAGGAAACTGTGATGTATCCCCACAGCTTACAGAGGGGTCGCTTCCTCCCTCAGTTGGTCCTTCTCCAGTGGAGCTGGAAGACTCTGCTGACAGCAGCACCTTTCTTGTCCCTCCTGACACCCCACTAAATGAGAACACACCGGCAGAAACTCTCACGGGCAGCCGTCACAGCCACTGTTCCCTCAACACCATTGTATAGAGGAGCGAAACGCCCGTCACTGGTCAGAGAGCGTTTTAGCAACTGTTTGCACAGACAAACACTAATCCGTGGTTTGAACTTCAGAAGGAATCTCCACTTTGTTTTTCAGACACTGCTTTTATGTTCTAGTTTAGGATCGTGCCTCTCGGTTTTTTTGGCTGTCATTATTCATTCACTAATCAATTGGTCCTGTAAATATGGATTGTATAACTGCTCTTTTTTTTTTTTCCATTGACTATGGAAAAGAGAGCAGAAAATTCCTTTGACTTCTAAGGAGGTGAAAAGTATGGGTAGTTTGGTTTTTGGTTTTTTTTGTTAGTTTTTTTTTTTTTTCTTAACCTGAGAGGAATCAAAATCTACATCAGAAGAAAGCTGCTTGGATTTGGCTGGATACCGCAGGATCCAGGGAACAGACAATGGAAAAGGAGGGTGGGGGCAGTCACTGTTCAAGCAGAGAGGACGGAACTGCAGGGGAGGGGGCTGGGGGCGTGTTTTGCAGAGTGGGGGCCCTGAGCAACTAAAACACAGGGCACCAAGAGTTGCACTGTGTAAAACACACGTGGTTTTTCACCTGCATTGCTGTTTCCGAACACCGCAGGGACGGGAGGGTGAGTAGTCTACGCAATATGTGAATAGGGGGTACTAAGAAAACTGGGATTTGCAATTACAATTATTTGTTGCTGGTACCTGCAAAATCTCATTGTTGGGTAAACTTCTGGCCCATGAAGCAAACTGGGTCTGTGTGATGTCCCTTTAGATGTCCCTCACATGTGTTAGGTAGTACTTTAGGGAAGGGATGGGGAGCAATTAACTTTGATGCAACCTGAGTTCACTGTATGAAGCCCCTGTTTGTTATAATCCCATAAGGAAGATTGAGGTATTTTTCTTTCTAGGTTAACTCCTTTACAGTGAACAGTTGCACAAGACTGGCCTGGATAAAAGATCATTGTTCTTGCTTTTCTTAGTGCATGCTATATTTTTAGCATGTGTGTTCCTTCCCCTCCATTTCACTTCTTTGCAGTTCTACAAATACCACTGAAAAACGATGATCAACATGTACTATACGTGATGTTTAATTCTAATTGGACACTTGTTCCTTATCTGAGACCCATAAATTGCCAACCCTGTTCTAGAGATTTCCCCCGTGCCCCCCAAACCATTTATCCAGGTCCCACGAGGGTTTATAATGAGGTTAGTGTACTTAAATCAATAAAGCAGTTTGCTTCAGTCTGATACGTCATCTTAAATTTCCCCCTTGTATTGAACTCTCTAAACTAAGTTAATTTAAGGATGGCAAAGATTCATTCGCTCCCTCACGAAACCCAAAGTCAAGCACTGTTGGTTTTGATAATGAGTGCAAAGTAATCCTTACAGGTGATTTTAAATTTAAGTTTAGATTTCAGTGTACAAATAATTTACCTTTTTCTCCCATCCTCTCCTTGCCTCTGCTTTTCCGTGACTTACTGTAACAGTCAGCAGATGAGATGAATTTTAAGGAATTTGTAAAGAATGCCCCCTGTAAATGGTCTCCTGTTACCTTATGAAGGGTACAAGCCTAGAGGGACAGGAACAAAACACTGCATGGGGGTGTGTATGTGATCTATTTTTCTAGTAATGATGAGAAGTCATACTTGTATGACAAATCCTAACCCACTGTTGCGGTTTCCCAGTGCAGCTGACTCTTTCCCCATGGAATATGCTGCTACTTTCTATTCCCTGTCTTGCCTATAGGCTTATACTGTACTTGGGGATTGGTCTTGACAATTCAACTCCTTTTGCACAGAAAACTGTGGGTTTCATTACTGAGATGGTGTCTGGTGTGTTTGACGTTCAGACACTCGCTAACAACCCCGACTCCGTCGGAGAGCGTGAATCACAGCCCCGGGTGCGCTGCTGGCACACGGGTGGGAGGAAGCACTGCCGGGAAGCCGCTCCACGCCCGCGTCCCGCGCTCCGCTTTGACTGGCTCCAGCAGCACCGGTACGAAACGAGAGGAGCACTTCTCCACCCCGTGGGATCTCCTACCGTCTCCTCCTC